CCCCAAACAATTTTTAACACCTGAGCTTAGGCCTTTACAGGCCACATGTGAAAGTGAAGGAAACAGCTTAAATATCCTCATTCACCATCTGTTTTTTAAACTCAGTATGTTTTAAGGGCAGTAAGGTGCACAGGAAAAGGTAGTCATTTTTTTTGGACCAGAATATATAGCTGAGGGTAGAGACAAGGCCTGTGTGTGAGGGGGAAGTAACATAAAAGGTTTTGTCAAAATTCTCAAAATGTAGAAGTTGAGAGCTAGAGCCTCTCCGGCTCTTACCCTACCACATTAGACAGCAACAGCTAGACAGGGGTCCAGGAGTAAAATTCCCCTTAAGAACAGAAATAAGTCCCATAAATGCTAAACAAACATAACTAGTCATCTAGTCAGCCATTATTATTGACCGATTAGTTGCACAGAATCATAGAAAGGTTTGGGTTGGAAAGGACCTTAAAGCCCACCCAGTCCCAGCCCCCTGCCATAGGCAGGGACACCTCCCACCAGCCCAGGCTGCCCAAAGCCCCATCCAGCCTGGCCTTGAGCACCTCCAGGGATGGGGCATCCACAGCTTCTCTGGGCAGCCTGTGCCAGGGCCTCACCACCCCCTTAGTTAAGAATTTCTTCCTTGTATCTAATCTAAACCTAGCCTTTTTTTAGGTTCAAACTGTTACTCCTTGTCCTATCACTCCACTCCCTGACAAGACGTCACAGAATCACAGAATCATTAAGATTGGAAAAGACCTCCAAAATCATCTGGTCCAAACATCCCCCCACCACCAATATCACCCACTAAAATCATGTCCAACCTTTCCTCTAAATCTTCTCTGTATTCCCCCCTGCATGTACTGGAAGGCCACTGTAAGGTCTCCCCAGAGCCTTCTCTTCTTTAGGCTGAGTAACTCCACCTTTCTGAGCCTTGAAGCGATAGCCATATATTTCAATGAAGATAAATGCCCAGAGTTCTGTTTATTCACATTTCCCACTGTTCACATGAGATCCACATCAAATTCCCAAGCAGTTTTAGGTAACCTGGAACATCTCAATCTCTTCTCTAGCCCAACTGTGAACATCAGCAAACAGACTAATGTATTTGTAAATCTTAAGACAGAAGCAACTGTTAGGATTGCAGAGTTCTTCCAGCAAGCCTGGACAACTTTTTCATATACAGACAAAATAAGGGTTCAGGTACGGAGCTGCATAGTAGGATACATCCTACTTTATGCTTTCTAGATCCAAAAAACACTGCTTCTGAGGCTTCCCAGTCCTGTGTCAGGTCTGCAGCAGTTGGACCATGTCTGCATCCGCCTACCCATGTTCTGGAAGAATCCACATCCTAGTGCAGACAAAGTCCATCTGATTGTGTCTGCATGCAGACCTGGTTCCTGCTCCTGGGAACTGGTTACCTTAGCTGCCAGGATTCCTGTCCTGGCAGGAATGAAGAACAAACGAAATCTATCCATCAGCTACGCAAAAGCACAATACTCTAACACAAACAGAAAAGGCCACGAAATTGAAGGTATTTATAGTTGAGAAGAACTTGGCCCACACAGTTCGTCAAAAGCAGTGACAGAAAACATGTATTTAGCATTTCCAGATTGGCTCGTGACACTGTGCCTACTGCCAGAAACTCTGTCTCCCAGAGATGAAGACTTTGAAATGAGATGCTGAAACTGCTATTGGAGGGAGCTTACAGCCTGTCCTTGAGAAGGGTTGCTTGTATGGATGCTCTAGGAAGAGCCAAGAAAGAACAGAAATAGAAACTCCAAAGCTAATCCTCCTCCCCCCAGAGGTTTACTACCAGAAGTTGTTTATAAATTAGCAGGCAGACAGATCCTCTGTACTCTGCTTTCCCTGCTCAGACAGGGGTCTCTTCCATAGGACCCATAAAGGTCTGTACTGCGGAGAACCAACAGCAGGAGCCAACGTTCCGGGTCCAAACCCTGGCTCTAACCACACATCCTTCCTATCCCTGTAGTGTTGCCTCTCCTTAACACCCTGGTATTTCCTTGACAAGGACATAGTGTTCCACTATTAACAGATTACTCGATACTAAAGCCAGCTTTTTAATCTCCTGCCCACTTTCTCCCTCTCATCACTGTTCCTCTCCTTCTGTCCCTTCTGATCTCTTCCAGTTTTCATTCTCAGCAGTCTTGCTCACACATCAGTTTCCGAAATTATCTGACGTGCCTTCAAGGTCCATCCTGAAAACACATCGTTTTAAAGATATTTTTAACCAGCCCTTGAGAAGAAAAAGGACCCAAACACAGATGAGAGTAGAATCTGCATTCACTGCCGTCTTTACACCTACATTCAGGACTTGACCCTGTCAACATCTTACTGAAAAGTCCCCAGACGTTATGGAACTAGTACAGGTGTCTGGCAGGAACTGGACAGATGTTTGCAGGGAGTGGAAAACATTAAGGACCTACTTCAGGCTCCTAAAATAAAGGAGCAGGTAGCTCCACAGCCCACACAGATGAGAAAACAGGCAGGAAGAAAGCAAGAGACCACTTTGCTTTTTTAAAAAGGACCCTCCCAATTCCCAACTGCTTTGGAAGTTAAGTAATTACATCTTCAGCTTAAGCCAGCCCTTTCCTGCACATTTAGTCCCAGGTTCTTTACGTTCCTTTTCTAAATAGACCAAAAAGTGTTTTCTTTTCCCTGCTGTAGTGACAAAACACAACCTTTTTTTCAACATTTTTCCATCCAGCCTTTCCTTGTTCCACAATAAGCCTGATTTAGCTGTAGGATCACCTGTAGAAAGCCACTGTCAATGGCTAAGAGCCACACCTGAAAGCTTTAAACACTTCCAAACACAAAATGACCTGCTGCTGACCCCACATTATTTCTGCAGCTGCTGGACTGAACCTCGGATGGGAAGATGCAAATGGATGGGCAGTAGATCAGAGGAAAGTGGGGTGCAGAAGTCTGGAAAGGATGCAGAAATGGACGAGGAGGCCTGAGAGAGAACTGGGAGTCACAAAGGTGTGATGGACTCCAGAAACTTGAGAGTATAATGCTGGAGGCAAAAGCGCACAGCACATCACAGCAAGGACATGACTAAAAGAGTTTAGCTGTAACAGGTCCTAGGCTAAACCACACAACATTATTACTGCTTCTTATTGTGTCTTAAACATGCCAAGTCTTGGGTCACCTGAAACTGTGCCAGCACTAGGAATTCTCTTGCAGCAGTCTTGTAAGACAAGACCATTTGTAAGAACAAATATTTATTACTACACAAAATACAGTATTTTACAGCATAAAGCCCCCTAAAGTACATGGGAGCACAAGTTTACTACTAGCCTGTCAAAACTTACTGTGCTTTATGGAAAACATGTTCCAACAGCATCACGTGTCACTTTTTTCTAGTTGTATTAGCATGCTGGAAGAGAAGATATTCTATAATCGAGACATTTTTAATATCCTTCCTAAACCTTGAGTACAAATACTTTGGAAAAACTATGGAGAAAGTATTGTTTGTGAAAGGGGTGGGTAAGGGGAAACTTGGTCTCTGCACGGTGGCAGCAAATGGCGCTTGGAGAAGAGGAGAGTAAAATCCTGCCCCTTGCCCCAGCTGGAGCCCAACTGTGATGCACTGAGCTCTGCAGCAAGCCTGGGGTGACGTGCTTCCAGCTGGCAGTCTCTGCGTGCCTGTACATTAATGCATGCACAGAATACAGCTCCAGGAGCAGCTCTGTGCAAGAGGTAACTCAGAGATGACTTCTCTATGAACATCCAGAGTTTTGATTTACTCCTTACTCGTATCTTTTGGAAAGGTCATATAAGCTACATAAGCACACACGGAGGCACGCAAAAAGCTTTTGAAATCCTCAGTTGTAACTCCATTTAAAAAATAAAACTACATTCACTGGAAGAAAGCACGAACTAAGCATTGTTCTTCTAAAAAAATACCCACTCTATCCAAATTATACGCAACCAAAACGCTGAAGTGTTCTCATTAAGGTAAGTAACAGTGAAAGTCAGGTTTAAAAACGTAACTGAAATTTCCATACCCTGGAGGGATATGGGCTGTGCTCAGAGGTGACGCACTATTTTTAGGAGCATGACATGAGCTGCATTACTTGTAGTACACTTTGATCAAATTTTTCAGAGTTAAACATTTGCTGTTCACAACTAGCATAGCTGCTGCTCTAAACGCACAAGAGTCAGTTCCTTCGGGGCCTGACTTTTCTGAGAAAAGCTTCAGTTAAAGATTTCAGCACAGATCCACATAATCTTTGATTTGCAATTGGTAGGAGAAAAATCACCTCTCTTTAATCTCTAGTTACATGCCTCTATTATGACCTATTCTAAACATATCTCCTGGCATAGCAAACGGAATTTCACTAAATGCACAGATAGATATTGGACACCTTGTTTCCACTTTGAGCTCAATGTGGAAGGTAACACTTACCCCAGTAGTATGACATTAAATCTAGAATAAGTTTTGTGTTTCCATTCCCTGTTTTCCTTCCTCACGCCCCTTTCTCTCCACCTACCCGCCTCCTGGTAGCCTATTGCAACAGCTGAGCCACAGGAGGGTGCAGCACTGCACAGATGGAAACGGGACAGTGCCACGAACCTGCCAGCTAATGGAAAATCCATTTCAGGTCAAGCTGTTAAAGAAACCCACTGAAACCAACAAGAAAAAAAAACCCTATCACATTAGTGGCAGGTAAAGTGGCTATTCAGAGAAGCCTATTCCCTAAAAAGTATGGTATAGTGTCTACTAAAAGAACTACACATACTACTACTAGTCCCAAGACATTTTTATTCAGAAATCTCAGATTTAGTAAATAATTGCTTGAATAGCTATCAGCTAACTCTATCCAATTCTAATGGCTATCAAACAAATTGAATAGCCAGTACTAATTCTCATTTTTATATAAGTAAAAGTAAAGTATAAGTGTAAAAAGTAGATTTCATAATCACTAAGTACACAACTTTTATACTAATACAGATTGCTGAAGTTTTGAAGGGGGAGGAGAGGGACAGACACTTACCACAGTGGGGTTACCGCTGCTGATCAATTGGCTGACTTCATGAAAAATGCTTTTGCAGTCGATAGATTTGTCTAATGATCCCCGTTTCACTATCACCGCTACTGCTAATAGAATCTGCTCCCGAACGTACTTTTGAAGGCTGTAAACAACATTGCAAAAATAGGTTTGAAAACAGTTTTGGAAATCAATGCTCAAAGTTTTAAATGCATTTCTTTGTCAAACCTTGTGTGTGAACACATTAAGGCAAGCTGACAACTCTGCACAAGTTGACTAAGTGTTAAGAAATTGGAAGAAAAATTACTGCTGTAATGGTCTTCCACCACTATCCCTGGAAACACAAACATAACCAAGACTATGCCGAGTTCTACACATTCAGCAGTACTTTTTCTTATACTTACTTAGGCCTTTGTAAGACATAAGTTAGAAGGAATGTTCGCAACGATTCGATGCTAGTTTTTTCCAACAGAATCCATTCTCTTACAACTGCTTCCATTATCGCTGTAGCAGCTTGAAAAAGAACATAATCCACTTTACTAGTTTCTGTGGGGAAAAACAAAGGCAGTTTGAGTATTGAAAGACATACATGTATTTATCTTCTACATATTTCTAACAAAAAATAATGGACTTTACTATTAAATAGTTATTAAATGTTGTTACTATGAAAACAAAGAATTTACCTTTAAAAGAGGTAAAAAGGTAAGGTAAAAAAGAGGTAAAAAAGAATTTTCCTTGAAAAGAGGAAAAAAATAATCAATAACCCAATTGTATAAGAGACCTGGGGGAAGAAAAGCTGGCTACACCAGGAGACTGGGCCCAGGATCAAGAATGAGAATGCTAACACAACTGTGGAACAAAAAATATAGATGACAGATTTAGTCACAGTACATTAAAATATGATTAAATTGACAGCTATGCCAAAATGAAGAGTCCTCTATTATTTGAGTGCTTGCTTTCGGAAGCAACAGTACATACAATGACACACATTTTATGGATGGCAATAAGAAGTAACTCACACCTGAAGATAGCATTTGTGTTTAATTATCAAAAAGTTTTACTGGCTGGTGTATTTAAGGTTCTCCACACTAAGTTTAATTTTCCATGTTTATCTTGATGTAGTCACAATTACATTACTAAATGTAACTTCTTACTACTTGTTACTGGAATATCTGATTGCTTTGTACATAGGCTAAAGAAACTAGAAGAAAATGTTATGGAAAATGGTGACTGTTTATACTACAATTTAAAGAGAAGCCCCAGAATTTGAATGTAATTCATAACTTGATGATGTAAAGCTACAGGGCTGTTTTGTTGGGGTTTCTTTGTTGGTTTTTCCTGTTTGTTTTGGGGCTTTTTTTTGATCCTTTGCTATTAAAATTTTTAACTTAGAAATAGGAGGCAGCATTTCACTAGACAGTTTCAAAACAGTTTGAGTCTGTAGAAAACAGAAAAAGCATTCAGAAAAAGCATAGCCACAGGGTGGCAAAAACATAAAATACGAAAGGTGAAATAAAATTCCAGAGCCAGAAATGGAGTTTGGGCTATGCAGCGCAACCTGCCAGGGCCAGAAAAACTGTGTTTGCTGAAGAAAGCCTCAGTCAGGGGATGATGGGCTTTAAACAACTACGAAAGAAACTTTGTTCCACTGAATATACACACATAAGTCTATAATATGCATTCCTTTATATGCAAGTTCTATACCAAGATAGCATCCAATTTGCTAAAATGTTTTTAAGTAATTTAATCAGGCTTCAAATCTAAACCCTACCCAGGTAAACATGCTGAAATTAAAAATAAATCACCTTTAGGTCTACTAGGCTTAATTTGAAAACTAAGTAACCACTTAATTAAAAGATTAATGTGTATGTCCAACACATACATAAAGACGAGCCAAATTATATCTGCACAGGAATTTTAATTCTAACATTTTCTAACTTCTAGGTCTCTGTTTTTTCAAACTGCACAAAGCTCATACAAAAAGAGAATGTTGGTTTAAAAAAAAAAAAAAGAGGATGGAATTTCTTTTTTGCGTCAAGTACCACAGATGCACAACTGCAATCATTAACAGTACAGACCTCCAGCATTCAGTGTAAGCCTATAACTAGTCAAAGCACCATTATCCTCTACATGAGGTTACTAAAGAAAGACAGGACAAGCTTTGCCAGTACATTTAACAGCTATAAGCTTACAGCAGAAGAACGTAGAGCCTCATGCTTTGTGGGTTCAACTACAGGTTTCTAAACAAACCATGCAGTGGTGGCTCTTCTCCTTTTCATTATGTTCATCATCTCAGTTGCTCTCCCTGCGTGGCTCATACACTCTTTTCATGAACACTCTTTTCATCAACATTATTATCGCTCTCTATCTTCTGCTCCTGTTTCCGTCTTCACCACTTTTCTCCTGTTTCTTTTTTAAAGCCAGCTCTATCTGCTTTCTGGTTCCTACCTATCCTTACCTCCCCATATTACTTCAATCAGCTGTTCTTTCTGTCCACACTGTATGAACGCTTACTCAAGAAGCAAAAACCCTGGGGAAAAATCTTTCTGTTCCAGGTCTTAGCATCTCAACTGCCTACTGGAGAAGCCACTGCAAGCAAAACACTGCCCTAGCTGGAAACTCACTGGTTTCACAATGGTGATAGGAAATGAGCAGTTCAAAGATGTTTTATTTCTAGACATTCAAAAGGCATTAAAACCAAGCTCACATTCCTTCCAACCAGTTATATTTCAGAAGAAAAAATGGAACTTTCAATGCAGACATATTTCATTAATAATGCTAAACTGTGTTCCTTTCTTTGTCAACAAGACGCAGAGATATATCCCTTAGCACAGATAATATCACTAGGAATATTTCATAAATTTCCATTACTTCTAAGTAGTGACAAATTCATCGCTAATTAGAGACCTAAATGTTCTGCAAGCAAGGTTACTTACATATGTTCTCTTGCCCACTTAAAATTCTTTAAAAATTGAGGGGGGGAGTTGTCCTAATTAAAAGCAATAAGTGTTGTTACAGCCTTCATGACCAGACAAAGTACTAGTGTAATATCCTAAAACCTTGAACTCGTTTGTAAAAAGAATTTTGGTTTGCGAGTGGGTGTAGGAAAGGAACCACTCCCTGCTCTATATATTAAAGCATAATTTAAAAACATAGTAGAAGGCCTGCAATATTAATACCATGATATTCGTGAATTAAACTTCTCTAATCAAGAAAATTTTGAAATAACTTAAAAAACACTGTGGAATGAATAAAGTATGAAAATAATCATTTTAGATATTAAAAATGTCTTAATTCTTATATCTCTGTTCCACATGACAAATCTTTTAAATTAAAAGTTGCTTCCTCTGCTGCATGTGTTCTTTTCCACACTTTTCTAGGTTTTCCAGGAATTTCCGAGGAAAGGGGATACCTACCTAGCCCTTTCCTTCCCCTACAGAGACAATACTACAAAACTTTGAATCAATGCTCTGTTACTTCTATCAGGTGGACAGAAACTTTTCCAATTAATTTTTGAAAAAAGCTGTGCTGTTAACAGTGACTAAGACATTCAACCTGAAATAGATTCCTGCCATGGAAAAGTTCAGCACCAGTACAAGAGCTGGCAGCAGCAGATATGTAAACCAACAGTGTAATGGGAAGTATCAAGCAATCCTGCCACAGCGAGTTCTGCAAACTCCACAGATTAGACAGTATTACAATAAGCATGTAATAGAGGAAAGCTTCATCTATTACATCATTTTAGGAACTTTGCCAAATGAAGTTATACTTTACTGACTTCAGAGCTGCCAGAAACAAAACCTAGAGCAGCATGAGGCTTCACCCTCTACCATCACTGATCTTTGGCTGATGTTATCTAGCAGCTCCGCAGACATTTAAGTTGTCGTTTCAAGCAGACTTTAAGCAAAAACAAATGCTAAAAGAAGCAGCCTTGCCATCTTGCAACTACTACCCGATCCCTCCTATTCTTGTGCCATGATTTCTCATATTTGGATAAAAACATTTGCAAAGAGAACCTAGAACAGATTTTTGATCTGCTTACAGCCATCCTGTTTATTTGCCAATCCATTATTCAGCTTACCATGTGGCCACCACACAGGATGCAACACGTGAACAGGACCTGGCACTGAATGCTGAAGGCAGTATTATCCCTTTCAACAGCAACACCAGATTCAAGCTCTTCCAGGAGCCTAACTTTTAAATCAATTTTTTTTTTTTAGGTACTGCTTAAACACACAAACAGAGTGTGTTACTAATACAAAGATTTGAATTACTTTGTTTACATTTTAAAAACATTTCTTACTTGCTTGTTAATCTACTTTCAATACTTAAAAACAATACACACTTCAAATCTTTTAAATGAGATGTTTATCCAAGCCTTAAAATAAAATACAAAAAAAATAATAAAAAAAATCACTAAGTTCTTCAGTTTTCTCTGTTCCACATGGCAAAAGCCCCTAACTGGACAAAGCCCCTAACAGCCTGTTCTGAATGTAGTATAGATCAGGATTCCAGCATAGAGCCAGCCTGAGATCCCTTCCAAGAACAGTCGTTGTATAACTATTGTACAGAAACAAATACATGAAACACGAAATTTCGGAAAAGAAAAAAAAGCCACACAAACAACAAGCAGCCTTCCTCAAAATTAAAGCTAATGCCCGTACTCCCAGCTGCAGAAGGACATAGTTCCAGTTAGAGAAACTGCTTAACTGCATTTATTAAAACTTACCCAAAATATGTTTGCAAACAGCAAATGGTGATTTTGATTTCCTAAACGATAAGAATATGTGCTCGGCATGTTGGCGTTGTTCATTATTGACCATGGAAGGTGGTGCCTGAAAGAGGAAAGAAGAGTTATTTAAGTATTAAAAAGCAGTTACTCTACAACCCAACTGTAAATACAGGAGCAATGTCATGAACTTATCAATATTTGCCTTGTTAAATATCAAAGCAAGTATCGTTTTGTAAAACTACCTGTTCTTTCTTAGTCACAGCTTCTTCTATACCGCTATGTATTCACGTTGTGTGCACATCAGTGTGAGCATCGAGACATCAGGCAGAGCGTGAGTAATTCTAAGTATTATGTTCTGAATGATGCTTCAGAAGATAATCAAACCAATCCTTATTTCCCAAACCAAAAATATCACTGCACATCAATTATGTTGCCAACAAACTCACAGACACAGAAACAAAGTTCTATTTTTGCTTTAGTTCTACTTTTTTTTTTTTTTTTAAAGACTTGAATGTCTAATAAACTCAAGGGATTAAGAATCTTGACCATGGATATGCTCTAAAATCACATACTGGCAGTAACATACTACCCTCTAGTGTTTAACTTTAAAGTTGACATCTTAAAGATGGAGCAAGGGCTCAGATTCAGGTCAGCTCATTTGGGGATGGCCGCACTGGTCCCCCAGTAGCCTTGTATGACGGGCAGCTTGGCTGTCCAGGCGACTCCTGCTTCTCCACCACTGCTAGTGACGCCAGCTTCATGTGGAGCTCAAAAAATACTCTTACAGGGAACTGACACCCAAAGCAGCATAAGCTGAACTGATACGCCTTCAAGAAAGGAACACACACAGGTAGAAAGACTAAGGCTCCACTGACAAAAAAGATCTGGGGGTGTAGGTTGATACTCATCTCACCATGAGCCAGCAGTGTGCCCAGGTGGCCAAGAAGGCCAACGGCATCCTGGCCTGTGTCAGGAATGGCGTGGCCAGCAGGAGCAGGGAGGTGATCGTCCCCCTGTACTCGGCTCTGGTGAGGCTGCACCTTGAGTGCTGTGTTCAACTTTGGGTCCCTCAGCACAAGAAGGACATCAAGGTGCTGGAGCGTGTCCAGAGCAGGGCTACGGAGCTGGTGAAGGGCCTGGAGCACAAGGCCTGTGAGGAGCGGCTGAGGGAGCTGGGGGGGTTTGGGCTGGGGAAGAGGAGGCTCAGGGGAGACCTCATTGCTCTCTGCAACTGCCTGAAAGGAAGCTGTGGGGAGCTGGGGGTCGGCCTCTGCTCACAGGTAACCAGTGATAGGACCAGAGGGAATGGCCTCAAGTTGCACCAGGGGAGGTTCAGGTTGGCAATGAGGAGACATTTCTGCTCAGAAAGAGCAGTCAGGCACTGGGACGGGTTGCCCAGGGAGGTGGTGGAGTCACCGTCCCTGGGGGTGTTCAAGGAGAGGTTGGACGTGGTGCTTGGGGACATGGGTTAGTGGGTGACAGTGGTGGTCCAGGGACAGTTGGACCAGATGATCTTGCAGGTTTTTCCCAACCTTATGGACCGTACAAGCATGGGCTTGCATAAAAAGCATAAAGCCAGGCTGAGATGTTAGAGTATGTTACTGAACTTATACACTCCCCATCTGAGCCTTGTCCCTGGCAATCCAAGATCATACATGAGCTGCATCTTTTGATTTGTACCTGCTACTCTTGGAATAAAAGCATGACACCTTAGCATAAAGACCAAGGTATTTAATTTAAGATTAATATTTTCCAGTAAGTACATTAAATCTGATTTTATTATTTCATCCTTGACAAGATGGAAGATTCAAACACGAGCTAGTAAATCCACAGATTAAAACTGATGCTCTTCAATCATTTTCTCAATAATCTGACCAAATGAAGCACAGGAAAGCAGACTGCTGATCATCTGATTAAATGGGTCCTAATGAGCAGCTGTGCCCCTTCTTACACATCACATTTTTTCTAGTGAAGAATAAATGCCCTGTCCTTTCACAAGCCTGTGCTCTGCTAAAAAAAAATAAAATAAAAGCCTCACATAATTAAGCCACGTGCTGCTTGCACAATAAAACCCAAACTCTGCTGTGTACATCACATCCAGCCATCCCCAGGAGCTGTCCCCAGCCATGGTGGTGGTTTCTGCAGTCGGGGCTGCAGTGCTTCTCTGGGCAGGCTCCAGCTACGTTCAATGCCACAGACCCTGCTGCGCTGGATGCTAGACGAGTATTTGGAGCAGGTTATCAAGAGCACAGGGATGAAAGCACAGCCACAGCCTGACACACAGCTCGGTCTGTGCTGTTGCATATAAACCCAAATGAGAAATGCAGCCCCCACTTCTTCCCTTTGTGTGGGCGAGCATTTGTGCAAACACAGAGAGAGCCAGACGAGGGAAGTGGTCACCAAAAAGCATCCCAAAGGCAGGCTTATTTTGCACCTGGATCAGCCCTCCAGCCTGGTTCACCATAAGACAGCACAGCACAGGACATGCATGTCACAGGGTGCTTTTTTTCAGCATCATTTACCATTTAGAGTGCATTTAATCTACGGCCTCTGTTGCTGTGTAACATCACAGGAATCCTCTGAAGGCTCCAGAAGTACGCAACTTTGGTCAATGAAGTTTCATGAGAACTAAGAATGAAGCTTCCCAAGACAAGTGATTTATGTTTAGTAACCCTCTGTCACCAAAAGGAGACGTCTTGCTCCCTTTCTTGTTCTCACCTGCATGGCCTCCTTGCACTATCCCTTATATTACCTAACTCCCCCACCCCTAAAAAAAAGTGACACTGCCTTTTCAGCACTACTGATCTCGCAGATCAGCTCTACAAGCTTGTGAAACCTAACGCTAATTATAGCGACCTCAGAAGAAATGCTTTGGGTGTAAGTGACAAAGTCTGGGGCCATTTACACGCACGTTCTTAGAGCAAAAACAGCAAACCAGGGCTACCCGATGTTGATTTTGCATTAACAAAGCTTGTTTGAGTTTGTCATGCAGTTTATACTTGTTTCCAGTGTCCTGTAATACTTAAGGACAGACCACTTTTAGGGAGATCAGCAGTAAATGACTGCACAACTGTAAAAAAAATAATTACAGCTGGTTTATGGGAAATAGTCCCTTATGCTTACAGTAACTAGAAGAGAGCTCTTATTTCACGTAACTTTAACTCTTCTGGCTTTCTGAAGTCTGATTACAGAAGACCTGTGGCACTTTGGGAAGGCATAAGGCACATCATGTTCCCATATTAATTAAAATAATAATAATTATACATCGTGAACTCACTCTCAAAACTGTCCTGATTAGAGAAGTGCTGCAGGCAAGCTTTGGAGTGCAGCCACCAGAGGGAGCTTAAAGCTCACCGTCTACTGTCTTCACGGGATTCAACATCACTTATTGGTAAATTGGAAGTATTTAAAGTCCAGCTAATTTAAGGCTTTAAAGAAAAACCCAGCACACGCATATTCTGTGTGCAAATTTCACATTACAAGAGCACTGGCTTAAGTGAGCCTGACACAATAGTGAAATAGTGAAACACACCCCAGCCTACCGTGCTTGGAAAATCTCCCAAAATACCTCCACGTTCATGATCTTTTTTCAAATTGCAGAGAAGAGTTTGAAGGAGACAATCAAGCTTAGAGGGAATTAAAAATCGGAGTGGTAATGATCAGGTTTCTTCGGCATGCTGAAACTACTGCCAGTCATGCTGCTTCCCGTTCTGCACTGCCTGATGTTACTGCTAACGCCCATTTGCTAATTTTGTCTTACAAGTTACCTATACAAAGTTCTCCAGGACACAGCAAGATCCGAGGTATTGCCCCATAAAGAGACAGCTCCTAGGTAACACAGTATTGCAAATAAAATTACTTCCTCTCAGCTACCAGCAGTATCTGGAAGCAGAACGGGAACAGCAACAGCAGCGTTTGCTGATCAACTCCAGCAGGACCGCCGACTCCAGTGACCATTATCCACACAGGAAAGAAAGAGAGAAAGAAAGGCTGAAAAAAGACAACACTAGTCTGGCAGACAAATACCTTCAAGACTGATAAACTTTCTGCAAGCCTGGACAACTAGTAAGAAAGAAAATAAGGAGACCAGTTCTATTTAAGTATGCAACAACAACAAAAATTTCAACAAAGCCAGTAAGCATGCTAGAAGACATAAATCCTGCACATGTTTAGGGAAATCCCATACTTCTCTGCAGTTCTGAAAAATCTTGCCTGCCATTTTTCTGCTCAGTGAAGAAGCATAGGCAAGATGGGGTCTTTGCTTTCTCTTCGCACTCCTCTGAGAAACCACAGATAATAGCAATGACTCTCCTCATGCCACCAGCAGTAAATGGGACAGTGAAAATAATCCTTTTGAGAAGAGCAGAAACACTTACTTCAGGAGAAAACAGAGTCAAAAGTAGAAAAGTTCTTTTTTGACTCACAGTCCAAAAAAAAAAGGGAAAGATGGAGACTGATACTCCCCTTATGTTAAACGTGTGGTTGAATCCTCAGCATCTTTGTAATATTTTGGGATCCAGAGTGATGCAATTTGAAGGAATGTGTTGGCACCGATCACAGGTACACACATTTTTCTGGTGTAGTGCAAGTACCCTTCAAGTTTCATTAAATACACGGGGAATGACTGCAGCTCTTACTGTATATAAGGATCAGTTCTGACAGGAACAAGTCCCTCCATTTGCATTTCAAACACAGCCGAGCCCAAAAGTTAGGCAGTGATCTTCAGTGGTTAAGAGAGAAATTAGCTTCTTATAAAATACATGCTTCATTAGAGTCCTAATCGTTTCCTTTAACAGACATGCCAACCTTCATCTGATCTTGCACTTTCTGTATGTAAAAATCAATAAAATCATCACGCTTTTCAGGAAATACCCCATCCCTGCTTGCACGCAAGGAGAATTACTTTGGAAGGTCAGGAACTGCCACTGTGAAACTAATCCCGAGTTGGGTTTTTCCTTCTGTGATTTCCTGAATCCTAACCAATTCCACCAAAATGCTGTGCGCTGTTAGAGCAGATGCTTCACAAGGAACTAAACACAACTTCTGTGTGACTGCCTTTTCATTCCAGTGTCAAACTGGATAAAAAATGAAGTTGGATTCAGA